CCCCCCCCAAAAAAAAAAAAAAAAAAAAAAGACCAATGGCGTCTATCCTTGTTACAGCAAACACTTTCAAAACCCAAACAGCATGAGAAGTATCAAGTGTGTATACTTCCAATAACTCTGGCTCCTACTTCATGCTTTTCTTCCCTATTCAACTCACTCCCCCTTTTAATTAGTATCGAAAATTCAAAATCATGTTTGTTTGTACGTCCTTATCTCAACCTCCTCTTTAACTCATCAGATCAGACTCTCTATGCTCACGGATTCTGTATGAAAGTTGTAATCTTTTGATAACCAAATCTTGAGTAATTGGGAATTAAGAAGTGAACATTGGTTTCTGGAATTTGGGTGTTTGATAAATTAAAAAAAAAAAGACTATGGTAATGGAAATTGTGGTCTCCGTAGTGTTGCTGTTAGTGGGAATAGCTGTTTTGGTATTCATTCATGTTTGTATTGTTGGAAGAGCATTTAGGAGCAGAAATGGTATAAATGGTGTCATTTTTAATCCAAGAAATGTGAACAAAAGCATGTCAAAGGAAGATATAAAGAAGCTGCCCTGTTTTGATTACAGTGTGGAAATAAAAGGAAGTAGTAGCCCTGTGGATTGTGCTGTGTGTTTGGAGAATTTTAAGGCTGGTGAAAAGTGCAGGCTTTTACCAAAGTGTAACCATAATTTTCATGCTCAATGCATTGATTCATGGCTACAGAAAACAGCTGCTTGTCCAATTTGCAGAGCCAGTGCTAAATCGCCATTGAAAACAGAGCAAGAAAACAACAATTCTAGTGAAGTTGGACTTGAAATGACTTAAAGGTAACAATTGTTTATTCTGATCTTTTTTTTTTCTTGGGAGTGGGTAGTAGTTTGAAATTTGATTCCTTGCTTCTGTTGGAGGAGAGAGCTAAATACGTGGCTGACTTACGTTATAAATTGTGGGGAAAAAGAAAAGGATGAGTAGTTTATTTCATATATTTATTGCGCTTGATTCCTTTCCATAGCCATGTATTCTTTTTCTTTTTTTTAATTTCTTTCAGCAATTGTAAGCTTTGTTTTATTGAAATTAATGCTATAATGCTGTCAAATATACAATTGCTCGTGTTCTTCTCCTTCTATCTTTTAAATTTGAATTTATGGAGAAGGAAATAAAAAGAGAGGGCCCGGAGAAAGCGATCTTGCCAAGGAAAATACTAATCGGTTAGCCCAATAAATAAGCGATATGTGTCTTTTTGATATATACTTTATTACTAATAATATTTAATTAATGTATTTACCCTAAATTTCTCACTTAAACATTATAATGGACACAGTTTGATCAGATCCCTAGTCCAATTAGTTTTGTTAAAGATGAGATCGAATAAAATATTGGGACTAATACGCCAAGTTATTATCAGATTTGTAGGTGGTTGGGTGGGGAGCTTAATATCTATCGTCTAATCATAGTTTTTGTTGATCTTACAACGGGGCCTCAATTATCATAACTTTCGGTTTAAGTGTGTCTAGCAGACTAACAGTAGACAATAATTATTACTTGGATTAATAAATACTTAATTTCAGATCAGTTTTTTATGTATTTACACTGCGCGTGTTTTCTTTTAGGACAAATGTCCAAATATGTCCTAGTACTATACGAAATTGAGCACATTTGTCATTCGTTAATACTTTAGCTCAAATATGCCATTACGGTTACATAGTTGATTCATATATGCCCTTAGAGTTACACGGTTGGCCCATATATATCCTTTTCGAACGGAATTCACCCAAACTAATTAGCTCTTTCGTTAATTGTATTAAAGTGTATTACAAACACTATTTTCTTTTTATTAATACTTTGTTTTCTTTACCTTTCTCTTTTCTTTCTTCTTTTTTCTTTTCTTCTCTTTTTTTTTTCCTTTTTCTTTATCCCTTATCCGATTTCCTTCATTACTGATGTCTTCTCCATTTTTGTCACCAATTTCACTTGATAAAACTCATGAATTCCAATTATTAAGAAAATTCTCTCATAAGATAATCAAGTTCCAATTTCACTGGCCCTCTAAATAAACGAAATTAAATTGTTCTAAAAATTATAGTTTGAACTTTAAAATAATAAAAACATCTCAACCTTTAACAATATTCAAAAGACCAAAATATTTAAATTATTTTCAGAAAGATACTTTAATAATTAAAAGTCTAGAGTTCAAGTTGTAGTGTTATAAATTTGAGTTGTTAGTGTCACACCTCCTTTTTCCCCCACAAAAGATATATGTGTTATGGATTATTGTGGGTTAAAGAGTTTTTCCAATTAAAGTGACAAATTTGAGTAGGGATTATTTTATTTACAGAGTCGTCACTTGGAATTGATTTTTTGGGTGTTCCAAGTCACCATTTATTTGAATCCCTAGTCAAAGAAAGATTTGACTCTATTATTATTGATCTGCGAAAACAAAGTGTGGGTAAGGAATTCTGTTGACCGGGGATAAGGTGTAAGGCATTCCCCGAGTCCCGCGGTTCTAGCACGGTCACTTTATTGACTACATTTGACTTATATTATTTTTGGATAACCTGTATTTTATTGGTTCTCATATTTTACCTATGTCCGCTTTTATTGCTTGATTAGATTTATGAAAACTATCTTGAAATAAGTCACGCGTACGTGTACTCATTTTTGTTTGGCATCGAGAATCATGTCATGCGTACGTGTACACAATCAAACACATTTATTATTATTCGAAGTTGATTGGTCAAGTCATGTGAACGCGCACTTGTATTATTTTTCTAAACTAATTTGAAATTATTGTAAGACCAAGAGTTTATGGATAGAAAATTATTTGAAAGTCGGGAAATATATTAGTTATTTAAAGTATTGAAAAGTCATCCACACTTAGAAATATTTACAACTTATTACTCTATCTTTGAAATTAGGAGACATTTATCCATTATGGAAGAATGAACTAATTATTAGTCTAGTGACAAAATTATTGGGCCTGACAGATTTATACTCAATCTAACCCATGTCTAATTCTTTCTTTCCTATTAAATGTGGTAACTCATTTCTGGTTCACTTACTTGAACTCCAACGCATGGCCCATTAATATGGCAAGATCTTCATTCTTAATTCTAAATAGCAAATCTCATTAAGATGAAATCCTATTCAAATAATCTGTTGATAAATCACTTGAAACATGTAAAAAAAAAAACTACAACATGATAATGTGTATAAATAAAACAATACAAAAAATTATCACATGAACCTCTATAAGAACATCACACAAAACAATGAAATAATTAACAAAGGGAGGATAAACAATGAACCTTTAAGCAAAAACTTTCCTTCAGAACTTGATTTATGCAAAAACAATTACGAGTCGAGCAAATACACCAAACCAAGGGTAAATCGGCAGATGAACAGAAAATTTAACGACGAACCTTCTAAATTTCGAGCCCGGATCGAAACTCGACTATACCTCGTGAGGCTGCTGGTTTTTGGCGTGAGAAAAGTGACTATCAATGAAGCTTCACAAGGTATTTTTAGGCTTGAATTTGAGGCATTTTTGGGTCTTAAACAGGGTGATGAATTGCTTAAATTTTCGAAAGAAATATTGAAACGAGTAGAAATTCACTTAGCGCAGAAGAAGAATTTTTTTTCTCTCAATTCTCTCCTATATTTTTCCTTCCTTCTCTTTTTCTCCTCACATTTCTCTTCTATTTATAGGAAAAAAATTCGGAATTGTTTCAGATTTATTTTTTTTATTTTATTATTTTTAATTAAAAAAAAATTTCACTTCCCATTTTTCTTATTTTTTTAAAAAAAAATAATTTCCCACTTTCCTTTACTTTTATTTTTTAATTTTTCACTTTTTTTACTTTACTTTTTCTTATTTTTCACTTATTTTACTTTTTTTTTAATTTCCACTTATTTTACTTTTTTTTTTTTAAATTTCCACTTTCTTTTACTTTTTAAAAAAAAAAAACTTTCAGCTACATTTACTTTTATTTTTTAATTTCATCTTTCTTTTACTTTTTATTTTTTTAAATTTTCACATTCTTTTACTTTTATTTTTTTAATTTTCCACTTTCTTTTACTTTTTAAAAAAAACTAATTTCCACATACTTTTACTTTTAATTTTTTATTTCATACTTTTAATTTTTCTATTATTTTATTCCCAGCCGAAAATTAAAAAAAAATTAATTTGTCGGTTTTTTTTAATTTATTTTATTTTAAAATAAAGATAAAAAATAAAAATAATACTAATAGTAATAATTTGACCTTTTAATTTATTTTTAATTCTTACCCTATATTAAAAAAATATAACAAAGCTAAAAATATATATATTAAATTTCTAAAAATATTCTCATCCCTGGTAAAAATTCAAATATAGTCAAAAATTAGGTGCTCAAAGTTGCCCCTCTTTGCTTGGAAACATGAAGAGTTTTCACGCAAATACTAGGTGAGCCATGTGACTAATTTTTGACCAAACCATTATTCAAAAGGAAAAGAAATAAAAGATAGGGTGCAACCGAGTCCTGCTTTTGGACAGCCTACATATCCCGGGTTATAGGGGAATCAGGTCACGCGTAGTTCAAGGAGAATGGTGGAATGATGAGTTGAGGAGTCGAGTGAGGTTCCGTCGAGGCTCCGATCTGCGGTCCTGCTATTATAAAAAAGAAACTAAACGAGCCTATCAGCTATGAGTTACAAGATTCCTATCTATGAGTCTTCTGAAACTTGATCTTGAGTCTTGACTGGTTCTTCATGCAGACTCTGATTTAAACCTTGATGCTTGCTAGTTGTAGCTTGTAGGTGCTAGTTTCATTTCTATAACTTCTTCTAATCAAAACAGGACCCCAATGCTCGCGGCTTCAGTCATGTCTTGAGCATTCCACATCTTTTCAACTGCTTTTGCATTTTGGATTCACCTATTTTTTCTTTTCTTTTATTCTATATTGAGACTTCTTCTTTTGGTCATCTCGAACCCTGTGCCTCAAGGTAAAACCTACTCAGATACCAAAACAAACAAACAAACGAAATTTTTCTGCCATAATTTATACTAGGAAAATTTCGTGAGTTATTGTAACAAAATTCTAAACTACTTCTTTATTGAAAGTAATAAAAGGCCGAAAATAGTGTACCCCAAAAAACAAAATAGAGACTAGGGAATTGAGACCCTATATCTAAAATGAAAGAAACTAAGGAGTGGAGACCCTATATTAAAAAAGCAACTAGGGATTGGTGTACCCTGATACTGGTAAGGAAATGTAACCAGGGGTTGGTGCCCTATATTACGAAAAAAGAATGTAATCAGGGATTGGTACCCTGTATTACTAAAAAGAATGTAGTCATGGGATGGCGTCATGTATTACTGAAAGGAAATGTAATCATGGGATGGCACCCTGTATTACGGAAAAAAAATATAACCAGGGGTTGGTGCCATGTATTATTGAAATGAAAATGAATCTCCTAGGCAAAAAGTTATACCTAGGTTAAACTGTGAAAAGCGAGTCTGGGCGAAGAGTACTTCTACCCGGAATATGAGCTGGATCCCCCTAGGCAAAAAGGTTCTACCTGGAAAAAGCTATGTAAAACATCCTGAGTGAAGAGTACTTCTACCCGAAACTATGAGCTGGATCCCCCTAGGCGAAACGGTTCTACCTGGGTTAGGCTACGAAAAATAGCTTGGGCGAAGAGTACTTCTACTCGGAACTATGAGCTGGATCCCCCTAGGCGAAAGGTTCTACTTGGGTTAAGTTACGAAAAATAGCCTGAGCGAAAAGTACTTCTACCCGAAACTATGAGCTGGATCCCCCTAGGCGAAAAGGTTCTACCTGGGTTAA